GGCATTGCTAATGCTGTTGCTTCCTCCTTCGAAGAGTTATCGCTGAAAAACTAAACTGTGAGCAGACATTCGGCGCGAACTTGAACTATCCGCTCTCTGACGTGGATTTTTTAGGGTCAACCAAAACTTTTTTCCCTACACGCACGATACTCCACGGTAGCAGACCTTGGGCTTGAAAGATGGAGAAGAGACGTACCTCCTGCCGCGTGGCGTTGCTGTTGCTGTTGCTTCCTTCTTCGGGAAGTTATTGGTGGATATCACAACCCGTGGCGGCCCAAAACACCCAACTTGAAGTGACCGCTCGCAACCGTTGGCATTTTTGCTTCAACACAACCTTTTTTTTACGGCGCATTCGGCACCTCACGGCCCCAAACCTTGGCATTGCCCAACAGCCCATGTTTCCAGCTCTTTCCGGATACCTTTCTTGAGGCAACTTGTTGAGTATTTGGCGAGATATCGGCTAACACGTGAACAGAAGAGCGTAAAACGCACCCTAGAAAAATCACCGCTGCGTTGCTGGCTTTTCCCCTGGTGCCAGGTCTTTTTGATTTTTTGCCTCATCTGTCTCCTATCCTCGTTAACCTACACGACCCTCTTTTTTCAGTTTTCCACGATAACGCATTTTGATTTTGATTTTGCGCCCATTTGGATTTTGATTTTCGGCACTTCGTTAATACACGCCCTTACCAAAATCAAATAAAAAAAAAAACGAAAAAAATTATATTTTTTTAGCTTTTCTTGCAATTACGGCACCAACAAATCAGAATTTTTGACCTCTCTGGGACGCAGGTGTCGTTTTCACTTTTATGTGGGCACCCTTGAACAACACGAAAATCGCGGCCGCAGCTTGCTTCCAAGGTGAGATTCAGGCCGCGCTGGCAGGTTAGGCCTTGTACAGGGTAGGCATCCTTTGCCCTGCAAGTGGTTCACGTTTCTGCCGTCGACAGGGTAGGAGGGTGCGTGATCCTGCAGGGTGTTTTTTACCCCACCCTGCCAGGGCAGTCGAATGCTACAATGATGAACGAAGGCGATGCTACACAAACACACGCTGGAATTACTGTAGGGCTACACACAAAAGGCTCATCAACTTGTTCGTTCCCTAGTGCGATGGGGTCGTACCTGCCCAAGAGATGACGCCCAGGATCAGTTGTCTTGTTGCTGTTACTGTTGTTGCCAAGCGAGAGGAGAAATGAAGAGAGGAAGAGTGGACGACGATAGGCCCTTCCGCCATAGGCGATCGCCAAAAACACCGATTTCAGAAAAAAATCGTCGAAAAACGTCGTCGAAAAAAGCCGTCGAATAAACAATAAAAAATACCACGGTACACACGTGATGCCCCCTACACAAATTGAAAAAAGTACAGACAAAAAATCACGCCGCCGGTTTCAGCGGGGTCAAATTGTTTGTTTTTTTTCTTAATGTGACACAACGAATCCATCTCTATCATAGAAAAGAGTCTGAGACAGATTAGCAATTTTGTTTCATCCCCTCCCCAGGTTGGACATGGCTGAGCCCAGTCCTTTCACCACCGCGCGCTCCTCGCACAGACCTCGGCGGGGCACCAAGGTACACAGGCACCTCACGCAGGTCATACCCTCCATCGGAAAGCAGTTTTCACCATTTAATTTTGCTTTGGACGTGAGAAATGCCTCACGATCACATCTGAGTTGAACCAGCTTTCTGCTGCTGCGCGCAACCTTTTCAGCTCGTGTGAGCCAACTTTCACCTAGGATTGCTGAAACACTGCAGTCCCCCGATTCGGCCGATACTTGGCCACAGTGGAGATCAAAGACCATAGAACGATGTTATGATGTGCACGATTGGGGATCAGCACTGCAGGGAGCGCAGTTGGCCTGCGAAAGTCGGCCCAAATTCAAGTCTATGCTCAAGTAGTCAGCAGCGTGGTCAGCAGATAAGCGTCAACAGCGATCATGCGTCTACCTCCGAAAACATCATACTTGGAACTGGAAATCCAAGCCTGGAAGCACGCACCGAACTTTCAACGTCGTTTGGTGAACACCTAACTTTAAGGGCGCACTGAGAATCGCAGTACCTCCTCTGAAAAATCCAGGAAACGCCTGCATATCTCGGTTTTCCAAAGTCTAACTGCAGTACGAAACTACCTTCGTAAATTAACCGTCCGCAGCGGTCGCTTGTGTACAATGTTAGCAGCTGAGATTGTAGCCCTTTCGATACACTACAGACTAGCGGTCCGCGATTTTCCAAACGATCCTTCTATCATCGAGTTCGGTGAGCTACAAGCTAGATTTTTTAAGCTGCTGTGCGGTCCAATTTTGAAACGCTTCAAGCACCTTTGCCTAAAGGCTGGACATGCATATACATGACCCTAGGCATTCAAATCGACAATGGCGACCAGCTGGATATGTGAGGGAAGAGCTGCGCTGAAGTTCGCGACCCCATACACTCACATCGGCGGTGATTCGTGTTCACCGTGTGCTTGAAGCGTTTCAAAATTGGACCGCAAAGCAGCTTAAAAAATCTAGCTTGTAGCTCACCGAACTCGATGATAGAAGGATCGTTTGGAAAATCGCGGACCGCTAGTCTGTAGTGTATCGCAAGGGGTACAACCTCAGCTACTAACATTGTACACAAGCGACGGGTGCGGACGGTTAGTTTACGATGGTAGTTTCGTACTGGATTTAGACTTTGGAAAACCGAGATATGCAGGCGTTTCCAGGCGTTTCCTGGTTTTTTGAAGAGGAAGTACTGCGATCCCCAGTGCGGCCTTAACCAAACCTGACAGAAATCGGGGTGTGGGCGTCTATATGTGTGGGCAAGGCATGTCGGATGTGCACGACTAGGGATCAGCACCACAGCGAGAGGTAGAGCAGAATATACTCAAAACTCCATAGGCTTCCTGCAATTGGGTCAGGCCGATTCCCAGTCTATTTTCAAGACACATTTTCCCCCAGGTTCTCGTTGAGGTGGGCTCATCATCCTACCACCGCCCTCGGACGCACAGGCCTCACAATGTTGTTCCAGCGCCGGACACGGGTTACACACACACCCTTACGAACCGCAGGCCTCTTTCTGCGCCAAGGGGGTGCACACAACCACAGCCACGAGATGATTGCTACACCTGGCTTGAATAGCACCCACAACGTCACACCAGCGCAAATCTCACCGCATTCCACCCTTTCAAACAAAAAACACAAGACCACAAGCCACAAGCCTAAGTAACCACAGCACACAGCACTCTCGCGGACTCCCCCTGGATCAACTTCACGTCCGACTCGACCATAGTCTTCAACACAACCAAGGCCTATATAAGTCAAGGTGTAGGGGCACTTCATGAACATAGTAGTAACACTTTAGGGACATGTCCGGTATGGCGAATGTCGGGGCGGCTGGGTCCGCCATGACGGCAAATTTTGCCTGCGATATCCTTGGGCAGTGCATTCAGGCCGAGTGCAACACTAACCACTGCTGTAGAGAGTGCAAGGGACCCGTGCGCAATACGTGCAGCCAGGACCTTAGGGGTGTTGGCGGACCCGTTCGGGTTTGCACGCGGGGGAGACAAGTGCAAACTCATGATGACGGAGGAAGAGAAAGCCGGAGCTATTCGTCACCGCGATGTCGTGCGAGCCCGAGCTGCTGCAGGAGAAGCTGGAACAGAAGGCCCGTGCAGTGCCGGCGACAACTGCGTGGCCAAAGAAGGTTCATAGGCGATCGTCACACAATGCCCTCACGGCAATGGGAGGCACTTCGCGTGCACCCGCGTGGCTTGCTCCCCTGACTGCGGCGAAGGTAGTGAGTGCACATGGCGCTCCAGACGTTTTTCCTTGTGAGCTGTTTTTTTGTGTGTTTGAACAGCAGGGTCCCGGGCATTTTTGGGTAACGTTACTGCTGTAACATCATCGTAGTGGCTGGCGCAAGGGCGCAGGGCTTTGGCATGATGTCTGTGGTTACCGAAGCTAGTCGGGTATCTTAGGTGAAGTGTCCTATGCCGTGGAGGCTTCGAACAGACGGAATGCAAGCGGGTCACATGCACACGATCGGCTAGACATACATGGACTATCTCTAACGGTAGCATTTTGCTTTATAAATCGTGATCTCTGCTGACCAAGCTGCTGCTGACCCTTGAACACGTCTCACTGGGCACAAAACAGGGTCCGAGGATGAGGGTGACCCCAAGACTGATGGAAATTCCGACGCTTGGAAAAACGCGTCTGGCCTTCACAATAGTGAGTCCGTGTAGAGTAGCACGTGTAAAGAATAGCAAGGACAGACAAAAACAGTTTCTCCTTCCCGCGAGGCCACAATAAGGCCCGATTCGCCCAGGATGGTTGCAAGGAGATCGGAATCGTTGGCCAGCCAAAGGACGGTCAGCCTTCTATTAGTGTGAGGCGTTGATGAACATGGCAGTCCGCCGATCACGGGCTTCGTTCATTCTCTACTAAGTCGCAATTCCAACGGTTGTGTTTGTCCGTTCGTAGTGCGCGTGATACATGTGAAAATCGCAGGCGGAGGTGACGATATTGCTGCCGCCGCCACACCCACCGCCGCACGGCAGAGGACCTCTCCCGAAGGTGAGGTCCAGAGCGCGCCTGTGTCGCGAAAACGCGGAGCAGCAGTTGCGACCCACATTGTTGTGGTCACTACATCGATGGCCACGAAAGACCATGAAATGCATTTGCACGAGGACATGATGCCGACCACTACCAGTGTATGGTGGCACAGCAGTGGTGATGCGTGTGTCCATATGAGCTACACTATTTTTACGTGAATTTTGCGTCCCGTCGCTCCTGGCGCCGTGTGTGTCTACCCATGTTCGGTCTGTGATTTGACGTCGATCCCAGGATATGTGTCAAGTAGGCGTGTTGAAATGTTTTTATATACTACTGCTGTTGTATACTGCGTACTAAGGTACGGCCACTTTGCGTCCCTCCATTTGGTGTTCCATTCTTCGCACTTGGTTCTCAGCTACTTCAGCGTCGAGCCGTAGGACATCGGGAGAAGGTGTGGGAGCCGATAGGACGATGAGGTTGCGCAACAAGTCCTCCTCTACGCCTTCGAAGCAGGCGGCCACGCCTTCGAAGGCTGGATCTGTCGTCCTGCCCCTGGAAGAAATTCAGGTCTGCATCGCCGACGCCTTGACGCACGTGTTCGGAGACAAGAAGATCGTCGGTACTTTGGTAGACAAGATGGCAGGGACTGCGAGCCAAGCGAAGGCCATGAGCGCAGTAGTGACAGCCATCAATGCCAACTCCAGGGAGTTCATTACTGCCGCCAAGGACGCCGGCAAAGAAGCATGAGCCCAGCACTTGAAGGCACTCCTCACAGACTTACCCAAGGCACAGGTGAGGAACGGTATTGATATTGGGTACATAGTTTCGGGTTCCATCTCTTGGAGTTGTTTGGTGAAACCGGCGCATTTAAGAAATAAGTATGTAGGCGTTGGCGTACGCGTGACAAGGGACATGAATCAACGACCTGCCGAAATACCCATGAACACGTACCAAATATCCCGCGTGACCACCCCCCGAATGCGTCCGTAGCACAAGAAAAAGCCTCGAGAGTATCCCGTGGCTACATCCCCGACTCTATTTGTTTTTGTTTCATCTCACCTCGGTGTTGTTTGTTTTCGTTATATAACCCCCCTACCTACCACAATGCCCCGGTGCGTATTTTATTTAAACGATTTCCATCCGCCTCGTGTAGTGGGTGGTCGCAGCATGGGAATTTATTTGCTAGTTGCCAACTCTGCTGTACCATGTTGCTGTAGCTGCTGATGGCGCTGCTCGTGCAGTGATTTGGTGAGGTCTGCAACGGCCGGCAAACAGACCCTCATGGACATGTGTACATTCTTGTCTCGGCCCTGTGAATCGTGGTCTCTTGTCTGTGACACAGACGGACGCTGCCAACAAGTGAAAGGACAACTCCGTCGAGGCGGCAAACAAATGGAAGACCACCGCCCAAGCACTCGCGAATTCTTCAGCACAGGTGATGACCAATGTGTTTGTGTCGTGCGTTGACTAACGGTTGCGGGGTCTGGTGACGGTTATTCTGGTAATACTCTTTAAGCACAGCAATCCCTACAAGGTGATGTCGTGGGAAAATCTTTCGACCTCCACACCTCGGGCAGGACGTTGACGGTAGGGCAAGACGAGAGTGTTGGTCTACTGACGTATCACAATCTCGTACTTCAGCATTTTGTTAAAGCTCTACCCAAAACCAGCCTTCCTGTCTGGAATCAAGGACGTTGTGTCCTTCCAGGATGCCCCCTCGTGGACAAAAACACATCCGTTACGCCCAAAAATATGAAAATGCGGGGCGATGTTTCCGTTGGTTATTCCTCTTCGCCCGTCATTACCTACGAGTTCGTCCCTCATGGAATTTTGCGTAATGCATGTGGATGTGTGGGGGTACATATAACTGTTTATGTTTTTCGTTGCGGATTTTGGCAACACCGCTGTTATTGCTGCTAGCATTGGCTGTTATTGGAAGTGCTGCGCATGTCCGGCGTTGTGGTTACCTGCGCGGGAGGTACGTGTCACAGGTGATTTATTGTGATAGCAACTCGACGAGTATCGTCGCGTTGCCTGTCTGAAGCTGTCCAGTTTTTCAGCCGTTAACAAAGTCGAGGGCGCACACCGCGACACGCTCGCCCACCGAGCACGACAAAGAGTTCTATACACAGAGTATATGACATAAGATATCACACCCACCCCCCTTAACAATTTTTAATTTTCAAAGCTCGATTACTCCACAGCAGAAATCGTGGCCGGGCGGCGTTGGCACCGACCGATAGCTTTCCGAAACAAACCTACCTATCGTTTGACATCCTCGTCGTCGTGGACTAACATTATTAGCTTTGAATATTGATGATGCGGTATATTATGTCACCTACTGCCGGTACAAGCCATGCATAAGAACAACGAGCACCCTCCATACTCCGTAGGTAAGTTACTGTAGTAGTTGAATTGAAACCTCTCATTACCCATCCGTGAAGAAGTTGTTTTATACACAAATATTTAAAAAGAAGTGCTGCAAAAACTATCCATGGACGAACCCAGCAGTGCCGTTGTTGTTGTCTTCACAATTAATCACAAAAAACCGTTCGTTCTGTTCTCTCTACCCAGTACCTTATTGTACCTTCTTCGTCTGTTCGTACTATTATGTATGATAGTCTGACACTTGACGCGGTCGATTCCCGCCGTGGTCACAGGCTAACTTACCCAAAACGTTATACAAAAATATAATGGACCCGAAAAAGGGTCCTCGAGTCGACGACAGATTAGTCACCCTCCGCTCGCTTCAATACGCTATGCATGCGAGGAAGTAACTATAGACTGGACAATGAAGCAAACAATGAGCAAACGAATGTTAGAGGCGAACTCACGCGCACCCGAAAAAATCGTCAGTCTTCGACCGGCATATCTCACTACAGTACTGGGCCCTGTTTAGTGCCGGTACGTGCACAGAGCGTTCACCGGCACTAAACCGGGCACCCGGCACTATTGCGAATAGTGCCAAAACGGCACTATTGAGGGCTGGCAAATCCCTCATTAGTGCCGGTCTGGCACTAATGAGGTTGTGTTCGACTTATATGGTGTAGCGCCCACGTTTGCAGGGTCAACAGAGTACGAAATGGATCGACACTGCTGTTGAAGGAAGTTCCAGCGTGGGCGTGGGCAGACTTTCTTTCTTGCGACATGTGTGGTTCCAACCTGTGGAGCCAACAAGTTTTTGTTGTAAAATAAGATACAGTAGTTTCGGGCTACAGCCTAACCAGGACTACATAGTCGACGGCGAAAGAAGACACGTCATGTACTCGAGTAAGCTGTGACGGCACAAACTGCTTGTAAAGCTCTTGTTCGTACAAAATATCCCTGCACAAAACATGCTGCCGCAAATGCCGTGCAGCCGCCCGCCACATCCTCCTTGGCAGTGGTGGCCATGAGGGTCTTGCGGCGTTGAGTCTGGTTGAGCGCACAGTTCACCTTCCGCACATGGCATGGTACGCCCCTGCGAAGAGCTGTTCGGGTCTGCAGTAGCACGTGTACCCTATTTTTCTGTGTGGAGTCTGTCTTCTCTGCCTGGTGTGTGTGCTTTTATTATTAGCATCGCCCGCGCAAACCGGCTGTCCAATGAAAAGACGTCAGTCTTAGTGCAGTTGAAAACACAAAACACTTTTATCTCCCATGAACTGGGACCCCGTGAGGGGGCAGCATGGGGGAGGCTAAACTACCCTTCGGATCAAAGACAGAAACAACAGCAACAGAAGACAACTGGACGCGTCTACCCAACTATTTCCTTGTACTCTAGTTCGTTTAGGAGTACATTCACCATTATCCTCCTTGTTTTCGCTACCATCATTCTGATCCTCATTTTGACAAGAATCTCTAGGGAAGCCCTACGTTTTTTTGTTTCGGGGAAGGTCATCTGGCTCAAACCCTTTGCTCTCTTCCACTCCTCCATGTTTCCTCCTCCATCGTCGTCTTCGTCCTCCTTTCTTCCCTTTCCCTTTTCTTCGTGTCCGTCACTCCTAAAATAATCACCCTCACTACTAACGTTGTCGCAGAGATCCCAACCGATTGGCCCTGGTGGAAGTTGGTCGATCAGTAGCCCATGACGTTTGAACACATCGCGAGTTCGCATCTACAGAAAACGAGCTCGAAGGTATACCGTCTCCGAATCCTGTTAGTATGAAAAGCTTTCAGGCGAACTAAGGCTCTTTCGTCGTCGAAATTCCCCCGGCAAAAAGCTTCGTGCGCCAAGTGGTGGGCGATAGCAACGATGGGTCGATTGGTGCCTTTGCCAAGACCACCATTCGTCGAAAAAGCAGCAGTAAGGAACGTAAATCTAGACGGGTTGAAAGTTCCCGCATACAATTGTAGTGATTTGCCTTACTTGCAGCTCGATCTTCGAGGGCGGATCCTGGCTTTCGAATCAACGTGTCGATGCTTCGACCTGCGGATGGGTTGACAATTGTTACGTCTATAAGAATGGACTTGGTGCAGAGTTCCTCTTCCTTCTCTCCTGCGTGTAATCCTGGGGGTACTACCAAATCCATCTTGCATGGCCCCTTTCCCCTACCAGTGCCCGTGGTAAAAGGGGAGGAATCCTCAACGGCGATGAGCATATGGCACTCGCGCAGTGTCTTGAGGACTACTCGAACCATCCTGTTATTTATGGAGGAAGGTTGAGGCGCCGGTCTTGGTGCAGACGAGGGAGTGGGCTCGGCTCAAGCGGTCCTTGCATGGTAACAATGCACCTGCACCACAAAGTTTGCCTGTGCCGCAGTCTGCTCGATCGTGACTCCCCAGTACACGATCGATAGTGTGTGTGTGTGTTCGCGCGGGGTAACCGGGACTATTGGGGGTGACAGCGGCGCCAAACCGGCACTAAACCGGGCATGCCCTCAATAGTGCTGGTTTGGCACTATTGAGGGCAGTGCCTGTGTCCAGAGATTTTACCGCCACTAAACCGGGCACCTGGCACTATTCAACCGGCACTAAACAGGGCTCAGTACTGTACGCCCATCCATGCGCATCCACTTTTTTGTGGCGACGGACTCCATGCTTTCAAGAATCATCTCGTTCATCTGTTTTTTTCGTTTACATGTAGTGCGCACGTCACACCCGAATGAAAAGGATACAACAACCAGAACGCGCTCTTCCGCACGCTGGGAAAGAATCTGGGACTAAATGGATGCGGACCCCAGAAGATACGCTTTTCACAGTAGGTTTCCTCTCCGAAACGAAAGAACCGGACGGGAGAGAGGGAAAAAAAAAAAGAGAAGAGGCGTAGGACGCGTTCCCCGTCATTGGCATTTCATAAGAATCGTATAATATTGTGGTATTAATATTGGCAGGAACCTCTCTCTGCGATCAGGTCCGAAGACCACCAGTCCCTGGAGCTCTTCTGTTGTTGCACCCACCCATGGACGCAGCAGTAGTAGTAGCGCATGTCCTGTAGTAGACAACCACTTCTGCTGAAAAAATTGGAGACCACGAATGAATCATACCGACAGGTGGGTCGTGGGTGGGCGGGGGACCCTAAGAAACAGTCAGACTCAGCCATTTAACATCCTCACAGTTTCTTGCAAGCAAGAACGAAGGGCGAAAACAAAAGAGAGACCGCCAGCGACAGGAAACAAAGAAGAAGTAGAGGAGAGCAGAGCTAAGAAACAAGTGAAGAAACAAGACCCCCTTGCCGCTCTGACCCACTGGAAGCTTTCCATGTACCGCAGCAAACAGCAGGGGCAGCACCCACTACCTCACATGCAAGAACAAAAACGCCCGGGCGAACTTGAACTTGTAGCCACAAGAAATAGGGTCATGATGACGTCATCCATTCTGCTTGCCGTGGGAGATGCGCATCGTTACGCGAGGAAGGCGTTAACTCTTCGCATAGAATATGCTGCCGTAGACCCTATATCCCTCAAGCTCAACCACAGCTATACCCGATACATGGTAGCATCATATCCAGCTGTAGAAGAATCGAAAAAAAAAAAAATCTTGGTGGCGAAGCGGACCCTCTTTATTGTGACTCTCCAACTGCTGTTCGTGGATGGCGACGACATGGCGACACAGACGGATAAAATCTAGGGTTTGACGTCGGTGTTATCCGCCGCAGGAGGTGAAAGCTATACTCAAAGTCGGGGAGGGGTCGTGGTTTGCAATTCCCTACGGAACCGTACTTGAGGCGCCATGAGATTTGCACTGCCGTAGCCGAGGTTGTTTGTCGGCAGGGAAACATAAAAACAAAATCTTCGGCGGACCGGACCCTCTTTTTTCAACTGGCAAACTGTTGTTTGGATGGCGAGACGATTTCCGGTCTTCTTGTCCGTCACAGGCCGAAGCTGATGCTCAAACTCGGGGAGGGGTCATGGTTTGCAAGTCCCTACCGAACTATACTCGCTCGGGGCCCACGTCATGGACATGACAAGAAAAACATCCCCCCAACGAAAACTGCTAAAATTCATGGACGGGTGGGTGAGTGGGGGACCCCAAAACAATGAAACAGTCGCGGGGTTCGCGTTGTTCTGGGGCTCTACCGGCGAAAAACACCGTCGACGCTCTGAACCGCTGGAAGCTGTCCCACAGCACTGCATGTGCGGCGAACCGTAGGTGCCATGCGCATTGCTTGACGGAAAGAGGCGGCGCCCATTGCCTCACATGCAGCAGCCGGGTACACGGACGGGTAGGTTCCTACTCAGCAAGACGCAAGACGCTTGCCGTTGACGTTCGATGTTATTGGGGACCCCAACGGCGAAAATGCAACAGAGAGAGAGAGGCAGACTAAAGGAAGAGAGACTCGAGAAAACAAGGCATGAACTCTCGAGAAGACACTCACTCTCATCCCTCTGGTCCACCGCAGGCTTGAACACGTGTAACGAACGGCGACATCCGATGTGCGCTCAGCAACAACAAACACGCCAAAAGAAAAATAATAGTCGTCGTTTCCGAACTGCTGTGGAGATCATGTGGAGATACTGTAAGTTGGTGGAGACTTTCTTTATTTTCTGGTATGAAGTGGCAACAAAGAAGAACACGACTATCTATCTGCCTGTGTAGACTAGAAGCACGCCGGACGAACTATTATCTCAATGCGCTTGCCGTCGCGATAGATGTGCACCGCTGCCGCTATACGAACGAGCAGACTGTTGTCAAACCTGACTACGATAACCGTACGACCATTGCAGCACATTCCGACCATGACAGCAGAAACCGCAGCAGCAGCAGCCGCATGTGTACAATGGTCACTCAAGAACAAAAGCAAAAAACAACAAACTGTGGCGTGCAGCACGCAGGACCCTCTTTCCCTGTTCAACCGGCCGTTTCCATGGCGAAACAGGCAAGGAACAGCCAAGGCCGACTCTTGCCGGCCACAGGAGGCGGAAGCTGCTCAACCTCGGGGACGGCTCATGGTTTGCAATTTCACACTGAACCATACTCGAGGCGCCACGAGATTTGTGCTGTAGCTCGAGATCAGCATTTTAGACCGGGTCGGGCAAGGGGTGGGGGATGCGAGTAAAGCTCCCACGGATATTGAACGATGAGACTGAAGCTAAAGCTTCAAAATCCCCCAAGCCTTGGACATGTCGGTGGGCATGGTACAATAGGATATGGTGGTGTGTTGACAAGTGGACGGGGTGCGAGTAAAAAGTCCGGGGCCCAGTCATGAACATGGCAAGTAAACACCCCTCCCAACAAAAATTAATGGTGGGCGGGTGGATGGGGACCCCAACAAACAAAGCATGAAAAAAGATAAAGTAAAAGATCAAAGACAAGTGAGCTATGGGCGCGACAGGCTTGAGGGAGGAGGCAAACAAATAAGAAGAGAAAACCCACCGTGGTCGTCGCTCGCTCTGGGCCGCTGGAACACGTCACATAGCACTGCATGCATGCCTCGAAGGACCCCAAGTCCATTGCTTGACATAAAACAGGTAGCGCACATCGCCTTTCACGCAGCAGCCCGGTGCACAGGTAGGAGTCTCTTACTCAGCAAGATGCGAAACCACTGCGGTTGACGTAGTTCGATATTGTTGGGACCCCACCGGCGAAAGGCGAGAGAGAAACAGGTAGACTAAAAGAAGAGAGCGGAGAGAAGACAAGGCATTCACTCTCGAGAAGACACTCACTCACGCTCGTCCCTTTGGCCCACCGCAGGCTGTCAGACATCTGTACCGAACGGCGGTATCCGAAGGGGGCTCAGCAACAACAAACACAACAACCACAATTCGCCGAGTTGGCACTAGACTAGAGTAGTGCGGACTTTCATCCTTCTGTGACGAAGCATCACTATCTGTCTGTGTAGACTAGAAGCACGACGGACGAACTATTATCTCAATGCGCTTGCCGTCGCGATAGATGCGCACCGCTGCCGCTATACGAACGAGCAGACTGTTGTCAAACCTGACTACGATAACCGTACGACCATTGCAGCACATTCCGACCATAACAGCAGAAACCGCAGGAGCAGCCGCATGTGTACAATGGTCACTTAAGAACAAACGCAAAAAACAACAAAATGTGGCGCGCAGCACGCAGGACCCTCTTTCGCTGTTCAACCGGCCGTTTCCATGGCGAAACAGGCAAGGAACAGTCAAGGCCGACTCTTGCCGGCCACAGGAGGCGGAAGCCGCTCAAACTCGGGGACGGCTCATGGTTTGCGATTCCACACCGAACCAAACTCGAGGCGCCACGAGATTTGCACTGTAGCTCGAAATCAGCACATTAGACCGGGTCGGGCAAGGGGTGGGGCATGCGAATGAAACTTCCACGGATATTGAACGATGAGACTGAAGCTAAACCTTCAAAATTCCCCAAGCCTTACACGTGTCGGTGGGCATGGTACAAAAGGATGTATGTGGTGGTGTGCTGAAAAGTGGAATGGACGGGGTGCGAGTAGAAAGTCCGGGGCCCAGTCATGAACATGGCAAGTAAACACCCCTCCCAACAAAAAATAATGGTGGGCGGGTGGATGGGGGACCCCAACAAACAAAGAAAGCATGAAAAAAGATTAAAAGAAGATCAAAGACAAGTGAGCCAGGCGCGACAGGCTTGAGGGAGGAGGCAAAAAAAGCATAGAAAACCCACCGTGGTCGTCGCTCGCTCTGGGCCGCTGGAACATGTCACATATAGCACTGCATGTCCAGCATTAGGAAGGACCCCAAGTCCATTGCTTGACATAAAACAGGTAGCGCACATCGCCTCTCATGCAGCCGCCCGGTGCACGGGTAGTCTCTTACTCAGCAAGATGCGAAACCACTGCGGTTGACGTAGTTCGATATTGTTGGGACCCCACCGGCGAAAGGCGAGAGAGAGACAGGTAGACTAAAAGAAGAGAGCGGAGAGAAGACAAGGCATTCACTCTCGAGAAGACACTCACTCACGCTCGTCCCTTTGGCCCACCGCAGGCTGTCAGATATCGGTACCGAACGGCGGTATCCGAAGTGGGCTCAGCAACAACAAACACAACAACCACAATTCGCCGAGTTGGCACTAGACTAGAGTAGTGCGGACTTTCATCCTTCTGTGACGAAGTGAGAACAAAAAACATGACTACACGGACGAGCTACAGTCCGTCCGCGATAGATGTGCACCGCTGCACAGAGCAGCAGACTGTTGGTTGCGATTCCTCGCTTTCTGTTGTAAATAAGATTGTGCTGCCATCTACCTTATCGCTCAAGTTACGACTGACTACGCAGCAGACTCAAAAAGCACAAACTCCCTTATTCGATGTATGCCACCCATGCAGATGCCGCTTAGACTATTACGATGCATACCACCCATGCATATGCAGCAAGAGAAAAAAAAGGCCTGTTGTTGTCTGTCTCAACTGTTGTGCTGTTGTTGCTTTTCATAAATAACGACACGACGGGCGACAAAGTCAGCGACGCGCATCGCCTACTACGCGACGCTTGCCCCCCAAAGCGGCAGACACGATAGCCTATAACCTTGTCTGAAGCAATTCAGCAACAGCAGTATGGTCACTCAGGAAGAACAAAAAAATAAGATTGTGGCGCGCAGCACGCAGGACCCTCTTTCGCTGTTCAACCGGCCGTTTCCATGGCGAAACAGACAAGGAACATTCAAGGCCAAGTCGTGTCGGCCACAGGAAGTGGAAGCTGCTAAAACTCGGGGAGGGGTCATGGTTTGCGATTCCCTACCGAACCATACTTGGGGCGCCACGACATTTGCACTGTAGCTCGAGATCAGCATTTGAGACCGGGTCGGGCAAGGGGTGGGGTGTGCGAATAAAAGTTCGACCCACCCACGGATATTGAAATATGAGACTGAAGCTAAAGCTTCAGAATGAAAGGTCCCCCGAACCGCAGATTTGGTGACCTGTCGCATGATTCCAGAACGTAGCCGCGCGAGTCCTGAGGATGGATCTGGAGAACGTACCCGTAAATACGAAACATCGGTCCCTAGAAGCTGTGCTCGGGAGGAAAGCCGCATCTTTCTCCGGCTGCCTTGGACTTTGTCATTCGCCAACCGAAGACTGATGTGGCACCTATGGCATATTCCTCATTACTCGTCCGCCCCCCAACAACATCTCGTGCCGCCTGCCCAAACCGCGTCCGTAGAAGCACTCCGCAGGTGTCAGACGCCAAGCTGACTGCGACAGCCAAAGCCGGCGTCATGGCCAACAACGAGGCATTGATGACCCTGGTCAAGACCGAGGTCGCAAGTCAAGTACTGCAGCTGAAGACGGACCTGGAGGCACGGTTGACTCAGATGGAGAGCAGTGCGAAAGCCGACCTAGAGACGCGTGTTGGGTCGCTGTTCACCAGCATCTAAAGCCGCTTGACGAACGCATGCGAGTACGTCACCGGGGTCGTGAAGGAGAACGGCCGCCCGCTCGACGAGTGAGTGTTGATGGTGTTTGTTCCTGGAGTGTTTTCGGGGCACCCCACACAAGGGTGGGTAATGCCTCCGCACCGAAGTACCCAATTCGTTGTTCTAGACCTTCCGGGTGTATGTGGGTGTGCGGCCTAGGTTTTTTTGTTGTTGTTGTCTACGTGAGTGTTCTGGGAAAGAGGTCGACGAGGGCACCGTTGCATGCGCCGCCTTTGGTTTTTTACTCTCCCAGTCGCGAGTGAGTGTTCCGGCTTCGTTGGGTCTTGGGCGTCGTTGGTTAGGGAAACAAGTGCTCCGACAGCCGCCCCATACCCCTCTAAGCCCTCCTTCCAACGCTCCACCCCCGCTCTATTTAACTCTCCGCCCCCCGTCCATTCGATACTCCGCTACGCATCTGCCAAAAACCCACAGGAGCATTTCGGGCAACAAGAGAGGCCCCCCATCCAAGACTCCATCGCCGAAAAGGCGCAGTCCGCGTGAGCACGAGGCTACGCGGAGGAGGTGAGTACACTTGGTGTAATTTGGTTGTGGCCCGTCGTCCTTTTCTCCGTCGCTGACGCTTTATAGCATCCACGCAGCCACCGCAAATCGTAAATCAAGACGAGGAAGGTTAGGTTGTAAAATGTCGGACTGTCTCTCTTCGTTTGTTCCATTTCGAGAGCTGGTGGTACGTTGCAAAGTACCCACGGATAGACTCAACACCCGCTTCTTTCTGACGCGTGTCCTGCGTTGTCGTGATGGTGCGTGTCCAGTGACGAACGTGAAGAGGCGACGACGCATGGGGCTCTGGCGACGGTGGATGGTAACACGTTAATGAAGATGGCCGCTTCAATGGGCACCGCTTTGTCGCAGGGCAACGCCAATCAAGCACGTGTTTCCGACCAGGCCCACAACAACGCCATGGCTCAAGGCATCCAGTCAATGGGGGGGTTCGTGTCCGTGCCACACAACATGATGCAGGCCCGGGGGGCTGGTGCGTCCTCGATGGGGATGATGCAGAACCAGGGGGCGGGTGCGTCCGCGATGAGGATGATGCCGACCCAGGGGGCGGGGGCGTCGTCGATGGGGATGATGCCGACCCAGGGGGCAGGGGCGTCGTCGATGGGGATGGGTGCACCCACACAGCGGATGGGTGCACCCTCCCAAGGTGCCACCAACCAGAGTGGCTATATGCAGCTTTTCGGGCAACAGAACAACGACGTCAATCAGGGCAATGGCTATCCTCCCTTCCGATCTAACTAGGTTGACGATATTTCTGAGCATGCCGGTCAAACACTTTTGGTTTTTAGTCGATCGCCAAACGACCCGCCTCCAGGGGGACGCCTCAAGGGGGTCCTCGTTTTGCGAAGGAAAGTGCAGTTATTTTGGTGTTTTTGTGGGGCGGGTGTGTGTTGTCCTTTTTTTTAGGAGGGGGGGGAGGGGGTGTACTCATAGTCGTGCATGCCGTAGTCGTTTGACCATTGACCTCGCATCCCTACAAAGCCGGGACGGAGCACGCCGGGTTCTCACCGGACCAGGCTCTCACATCACCAAGCGCGAAGCGCCGTGAGGTATTTGGCGAGTCGCATGAAGGGTGGGGGGGGTTGGACGTTATCACTTTTCGCAGTCGTAAGGGATGCAGTAGACTACGAGAAAGAAAGAAGAACAGGTCGCCATTGGCAGAGGGGGGGGGGGGGGGGGGGGGGG